GGTCTGGTAAAAAAGAAAAGTTAAAAGTAAAGTATAAGAAGTTTTCTGAGCGCTCATCGACCCTCTCATTCTAAGTGGATGAGAATTCTGGGAGATCAAGGGTTTTAGCCACACTGAATGAATGAAGCAACTCAGGTTCAAAGAGATCAGCTGACGTAACCAAGGTTACCCTTATAGTGGGTGAAAAAGGACATATGGATGGTACAGAAGTGGTATAATTTAGGCTCTTTTCCCAGCTTCTTCCCTATACTGTTTCCATAAAGGGGATATTAAGCTTGACACGCTATTATCCAGTGGCCTTCCTACCAATGACCGGTGGCTAGAACCTAACACCAGGAGTAGGAAGCCAAAAATGCATTATCCTGTACTCATATTGCAATGAATTTTGATGTTCATTGAGGTGAAAGGAACTGTGAAGACACAGGAAACATTTCCACAGTGTGAAGAAGGAACGAGCACAGTCTGTTTTGACCGATACATGTTCTAAGCCCATTTCTGCCATTTGCTAGCATTATGAGCACGCCTTGATCTTCAGTCTTCCTCTTATGTAAAGTGAAATAATGGGGGGAGGGTAAAGCTCAGTGGTAGAGTGTGTGCTCAGTATGCACGAGGTCCTGGGCTGAATCCTCAGTACCTTCGTTAATTAATTAATTAATTAACTTAACTACCTCCCTCCTGTCAAAGAAAAATAAATAAAAAATAATAATTAAAAATCAAAGATAGCATTAAAAAATAAGGTGAAATAAAGATATTTAGTTTTCAGGCTTATTAAAGGGAGTACATAAGGCAAAAATACCAACAATTATTCTGCACTTATCTTGGTTCTTAATAAGATGCTACTTTGCGTGCATTATCTCATTTAATCCTCACAACAATTTACAACATAGGTGTTACTATTATTAATCCTGCCTCACAGATGAAGAAAAGTCAGGGGTCCCAGGGCCAGACGGGTAGATTCCAGGGCCACTGGAGAACATACACTTAGCCTTGGGTTGTACCATCACCAAGCGCACAGCATTCAGCCTGAAACGGAGTGGCTGTTCCTTCTTCTCCAGCTTGCCTCCTTTCCACTCTCCTGCGTCCCTTCACCAGGTGTGCGTCCACCTGGTGAACTCACTGAAGCTGCAGTTACTGGGTTTATTCTGGAACCACCTCTGCTATCGTTTAGTTACAGGAACTCGAGCTTCTAGGCTGACGTTTTCTCATCCATATATTGACAGAGTTCTGTAGAGTCTTAAAATATGGTAGCTTCAGGTCTGATCTTTTGTGCTG